TCTTGGTAAACATAACATAAGAGTTCTACGTGATTCAAATCGGGGGAGGGGGGGCGGGGGGGTCAAAAAAAACCACTGTATTTAAACGAACAAATAAAATGCAGGGTAGATCGCTGCTAAACTTTTTATTGGTCCGGTATTCTGTCACACTTAGAGGAAAAGAGCATACGACAATGAAGACAATCTCAAATCCTTTAATGTAAATCCAAGGGAAGATGAGGGTAATCCATACAGAGAAGAACATCCAACACATGAGATGTGATACCAGCATCAATACCGGACAACTTAAACTAACTCAAAGGGGAACTCAAATAGGGAACTTGACGAGGGTGGCACAGGTGAGGAGGGTTAACTAATAATTAGACAATAAACTGAAACAAGATGAGCTGACCAGAACAGGAACTAACCATATATGGGCAAAAAGGAAGGGAACACAGGCAGATGAGTCCAAAACCCTGACACATATATTCTTAATTATTTATATACTATTATAGTATTTATTTATTAATATTTTGTATTTGTCTCTAATTTTCATATACTCAGTATATGTGCTTAATTTTTTATATTTCTATTAAGCTGTTGAACTTTTGTTACTTGAAATTATATAAAATAAAATATATATTAAAAAAACTTTTTATTTAAACTAATTTCTCATCTTTTCCACGACATTCTAATACTTTCCGTACCCACTGTATATATATATATATACACATATACATATACGTCATTTTAGTACTTTTTTAGTAAACTACTAAAAATGACAACAATCACAACAAAATTACTAAAACTAAAATTAAGTTGAAAATGAAAAATATAACAATAAAAACTGATACAATATAATAATAAAAACTAAAATGGTTTAATGATACTACAATTATACAGTGTATATATATATATATATATATATATATATACATACATACATACATACACACACACACACATGTATGTATACATATGCTTTAGTTTTAGTTCACAATAACAACACTGGTTCTGAGTAGACTGTAATGTGATAGATGTTGTGACTGATGAATTTTTTTTTTTCTTATCATGTTGCTGGTTGGTTAAAAAGAGTTACATTTTTGCTGAAATACAAATACAATATGAACAACAGTAAATGTATGAGGTGCTCATACATGCATCAGTTTTTCTTGAGCAACCATTTGCTTATAAACATTAATAAGTCATTCAGAGTCACTTCTTTTTTTGTTGTTTATTTCCAAACCCCACATTACAAAATAACAGTGTTGTGAACTCTGACATTTAAAGAGAGCTCTTGGCTTACAGGAAGACACTTTACCAAAGCAGGTCATGCAAAAACAGTGTGGAAGGCCTCCAGCGTCGTAGCACCTTTGTGGGAAAATAATAAATTAAAAAAAGAAAATTAAACGCTTTTTTCTTTTCTTTTTTTTTTGTTTTAAGTCAGTGCAAAAATATAAACAATGCATAGAAATCCATTAGCAAATATGTCCACCGTCTGCTGCTGTAAAACCGGCTGAGCGCACCCAGAGTTTTTGCCCTTGAAATCCTGGAGCTGGATTCAGATGGTCCGGGTCACGCTCGTACAAGCACAGTGTGACAGAAGTGACATTAAACCAGCATTTGAAAATAAAAATACACGTTTGCATCAGCTGAACATGAATGGAACAGAATCTGTACCTTTAGCATACTGCAGTCAATTTACAGGAAAGCTTAAAATATTCAAAATGTGCTTTGCATTTAGTTTTTATCATCCAAAATTTTCATGTAATGATATATCTTATAGGAGGTTGATATGAAGCCTGACTTTTTTCTTGCAATTCTGAGAAAAAAAGAAGATATGAACTCAGAACTCTCACAATTCTGTTTCTTTGTGAAAAAAAGAAAAAGGTCATTGTGACTTTTGTCTCACAATTCAAACTTTTTTTCTCACAATTCTGAGATAAATTGCAAAATATAAGCTCAGAAAAAAATAGATTTTTTCAAAAAACAAATTTTTTAATTAATTAAAAATA